GGGGGGGGTTGGGGGCAAGAGCAGAGTTTGCTTTGTGAGGAGAGCGGTTCAAGCCTTTGTTTTCAGTCCGAGCTCTGCGGCAGCAAAGCCAGGGGGGCGTGCAGGGGCTATGAACGGCCAACTCCTAGAGAGGCTGCGATTCAGCCCTGCCACAGACTAAGCAAAAGTTTGGCTCTAGAGTGAGCCTGCCTCCCTCCCTGCAACTTGGGGAGCGTTTGGGTCTGGCCCCCAACTCAAGTCGTGGAGGTTCAAGCCTTTGTTTTCAGTCCGAGCTCTGCGGCAGCAAAGCCAGGGGGGCGTGCAGGGGCTATGAACGGCCAACTCCTAGAGAGGCTGCGATTCAGCCCTGCCACAGACTAAGCAAAAGTTTGGCTCTAGAGTGAGCCTGCCTCCCTCCCTGCAACTTGGGGAGCGTTTGGGTCTGGCCCCCAACTCAAGTCGTGGAGCATATACTGGATTAGAACCCAGCTCTCCAAAGGAGCTGGTTTGGAAACATGGAGTAGCAAGCGCCACTGTTAAACTTCCTCTCAGGGCCAGCAAGCAGAGTGCCACAGCTCTGGGGAGCCCTGACATTCGACTGGCCAAAGTCCTGCAAAATATTCTGCAAGGGACAGTCTGGCACTGGCAGGGGTGATGGACTAGAGTTGTGATTCTCAACCTTTCCAGGTTACTGTACCCCTCTTGGGAATGTGATTTGTCTTGCATACCCTCACTTAAATCAGACAGTCACTGTTCACTATTACTGATTAATTGCTAACTTTCTCATTTTTAACATTTAATTATAAAATAAACCAAATGGACTATAGTGTACTTACCATTCAGAGTATAGTATATAGAGTAGTACAAAGTCATTGTTTGTATGAAATATTAGTTTACACTTATTCCACTAGTGTTTTTATGCTGCATGTTGTAAAACTAGATAAATAACTAGAAATGTTGATGGACTCCCTGGAAGACCTCTGTGTATCCCCAAGGATAGGTACATGTACCTCTGTTTGAGGGCCATTGGCCTTCGGGTCCCAGTAGCTCTTTCTCCTCTACATGTTTTGTTAGTTTATACAGTGCTACCAGACCATTTGTTGTTTTTCTCTGATTCCTGTTATTCTCACTATTTTGCTTACATCACATAACTTCATGGAATCCAAGCTGAAAAAGATTTTTGAGGTCATCTGCTGAGAGGGGTGGAGGAGGGTTTAGAAGGGGAAAGAAATGTTTAGGTCTAAGTGATTCCTTCTGTTGCCTCATTAGTTATATATGTTTCTAAAATCACAGAAAACATCCTTTCAAAGGCTGTTACCATCTGAATATGCACACAAAGGGTATTATAAGCATTCATTATTTAATATTTATACAGTGCTTTGAGCCAGTAATGGCTACATAATTATTAATTTCATTATTTATGCTTTATTATTATTAAACAAGGACACTCTATTATTTGTATTCCACATTACTTTTTTCATGTTATCTTCACTAGAAAAATATTTGTTGATCATATCACTTGCCCCTAAAGTGTTTTAGTCCCATAACTTCCTAAATTGTGGGTGGGCATTAGCTGCACTGACGTATTAATTGTTATCACAATCTTTTTACTATAAGGAGAACAAAAAAAGACAAAAGCATTTTGGTCGATTGCTTCCGACCATTGTAACATCAGAAGCTCAGCCTCCACATAGTTTTAGGGACTCCACCCTCTTCTAAAATAAAGTCAGATTCTTCACAGCATAATCAGCTCCCTCAGAATGAGGTCAGTTTTTTCAGCAGACCACCCTTTTCACTACATGTGACAGACTAAAATTGATTTAAAATCTTACAAATATACCATAATCATCTCAGGCACTATAACATACCAACAGATATGGTACAACTGACTCACTGCCATGCATCATTTACAGCTAAGAGGTGATTCAAATTGTTTTGAGCTGGGAATAAGTCATAGTTTTGTCTTAATCCTCTTGACATAGTAAATCCTTGAGATAGGGAGATGAAGATATTATCCACATCAGCTGAGAAAGCTCTTTTTTGGGGATCCAATAAAGCAAGTGGCTATAATAGTATCTTAAGAGCATGTAGATACAGGTCATTGTAAAAATCTAGAGCAAAAGTTTTGGCATTTGGCAGCTTCGAGATTTCCTTTTAGCAAACCAAATTAAAGATTGTAGGGGGTAGCCATGTTAGTCTGTAACTTTAAAAACAAGTAGTTCAGTTGCACCTTGGAGACTAACAAATATATATATCTACAAAAGCGACGAGGAACCCTGTGGCACCTTATAGACTAACAGAAGTGTTGGAGCATAAGCTTTCGTGGGCAAAGACCTACTTTGTCAGATGCATGTACAGGACTCCTCGCCGCTTTTGCAGATTCAGACTAACACAGCTACCCCTCTGATGTGTATATATGTATAGCAGTGGTCCCCAACCTTTTGAGGTTGTCGGGCGCCAGGGGGCGTGGCCGTTCGCCCGCTGGGCGTCAGGGGGTGGGGATACTTGCGCGCCCGGGGGTGCCCCCCACCATAGCCGCATGTCC